GGGGGGGGGGGGGGAACAGACTCAAGCTCAATCCTAAGAAGACTGAGTGGCTATGTCTATTGGGCCCCCTGGTTCCAGAGATATTCCATCTTTAACTCTCAGTGAGGTGGCACTTCCCAATTCAAGACTTGTGCATAATTGGAGGTCCTCTTGGACTCTCACTTCTTGCTCAAAGAGCAGGTAGCAGCTGTGGCCAAGAGGTCCTTTGCATAAGTGCATCTGGTGTGCCGGTTACACACTTTCCTGGATTGGGACGCTCTTCAGGGACTCACTCATCCCTTGGTCACCTCACAATTGGATTACTATAATGTACACTATATATGGCTGCCCTTGAAGACCATCTAGAAGCTACAGTTGGTCCAGGGGTGCAAGCAAAGATGGGAGCAGTGCATTATGCTCATGTGACCCCACTGCTTCATGAGCTGCACTGGTTGCCAGTTGGCTTCTGGGTGCAATTCAAGGTGCTAGTTAAAGCCTTCCTGACACAGGACCTGGCTGAGGGACTACTTATCTCCACTTGCTTCTGCCCATCTGGGGCAATCAAGCAGGGTGGGTACCCTCCAGATATCATCTATCAAGCAATGTCATCTTGCAGGACCCAGGAGGTGAACCTACTTGGTTGCAGCACCTACCCTCTGGAATGATATCCTCCCAGAGATTTGTGCAGCTCCCAACCTTAGGATGTTTGTTTGTTTGTTTGTTTGTTTTGTCCCCGTCCATCTCCCCCCAGTGGGGGACTCTGGGTGGCTCACAACATATTAAAACAATAAATAGATATACAATTAAAATCTATAACAGTACACGTTTACAGAAACAAAAGGAAAAAAATCCAGGCGGCCGATGGTTCAAGGCAGCACACCAGGCCTCTAGGGGGCTAGCCAGCCCCACATCTGATGACCTCCCTCCCCACCCCAGGCCAGATGCCAGAGCCAGGTCTTCAAGTCCCTCCGAAAGGCCGGGAGTGAGGGGGCCAGTCTCACCTCTGGGGGCAAGATGTTCCAAAGGGCGGGGGCTACCGCAGAGAAGGCCCGCCTTCTGGACCCCGCTAGTCAGAGTCCTTTTGCCGAGGGGGCCCGGAGCATGTCCTCTCTGTGTGATCGGGTGGGACGGGTCCCCGAAAGTATTAAAAACCTGATTACCATATACTCCCAGAACTTGGGACAGGGTGGCTGTGGAGTCCCTTTTAGTTTAGCTTAGTTTTGTTCTTCTGGTTGGCAGTGATTGATTGATTGATTGATTGATTGATTGATTGATTGATTGATTGATTATATATAAGCCACCCAGAGTCGATGAGCCATCAGGCAACCTCGAAATTGGATTAAATAAATTATGAAATAAATCCTGTTTCCCAAAGCAGCTGACTGGAAGCATCCAGGACAGCAACACCACCACACAGCCATTTTCTAAAGCCCCTTGTAGTCTTTCCAAGTCTCCAGGCCACACATCATTACAACTGCCCTTCTGTGCACTTCTGCTCCTCTGACCCACTGAGTCGTACTAAGTCCTATTTCCTTCCCGGGTTCCATAGAGCTGGGGCACCTAAAATCCCAACTCTTTACTGAGTTCACCAAGCGACTCCTCCTATGGTTTCCTGACAGTGTATGGCAGCTGATGCAAACCTTGGGCCAGCTGCCTCTTCTATCTGGATCACCATCTGGGAGTAACGGCAGAAGTGACCCAGCCCCTTCCTGGGCAGATCCTGGGAAGCCAACCATGACCCTCTTAGGAACCAGCAGGGAGTCTTCTCCAGTGGTTCCCACTGAAGCCACCAAAGCCTCAGCAGACTGCTTACCTCGCACAATCAGCTGCCGCTCTCGGCTGATGGTGGCAGCAGCATTGCTGGCGATGCAAGTGTAGTTGCCATTGTGTTTCAGGGAGACGCTGGAGATCTGCAAGGAGCTCATGAACTCCTTGCTCTCGATGGTGATGCCAGAGCCTGAAACGATCACCTGCCCGTCCTTCCTCCAAGTGATCCGGATTGGCATGTCGCCAGAAGAGACCACACATGGAATGTACAGGAGCTGCCCAATGGAGGCCGGAGGGAATTCAAAGGGCTGGATAAGAGGAGGAACTGTCAAAGAGAGGAACGTGTTGGAGACCACTAACTCCTGGAGGGCAAGAAATTAGTAAGAGGAGGTAGGCCGCCCAGCTCAGCCCTCCCAAAGAATGAGCACGTGGCTCGAGGGGAGACCTGCTCAAACTATGGGGAGAGATTCTTCACAGTGGCTGGGAGCTTGGAAGTAGCTCTGGGGGACCAGTTGAAAGCCACAAATTCAGGAGCCAGACTGTCCTCCTTCAGGCTCAGCCTCCCTTCACAGTAAGATCTGCCTACTTTGCAAGACAGTTGCAACCCTTATGGGAAGACTTGGCACACTCAGGCTTGGTGAGCAGCAGATTTGTAAAACAGCTAGAACACAACCTAGATATGGAGGGACAGCAGATAATTCTCTGCTGTGAATAAGTCACTGCCTGTTAGGGTACACAGGACTTATAGGTACACTTAACCACTGCAGGGATGGGTGACCACCAGAAGGAGGATTCTCATATTGAGAATGGCTAGTAACCATTATGTATTATACCATAAGCACAGGAGAAAGAAACTAGAATCCAACGGCTTTGAGTTGCCACATTGGAAAGCAAGGTTACTTGGTAGAATTCTTGTGTTCAACCATTTTCCTAATAAATCTTATTAATCTGAGCTACTTTGCTGGTTTTCTCCAGTCCTGATCGTGGCTAGAAAGATCTGACAACCTCTTAGATCCAAATGGTTTTCTGGCATTTTCAGGAACTATCCTGCCACCTCAACTGCTGATTCTGTCTGGTCCTCTCTGAGATATCTCATAGACAGAGATACAATTGTTCCCAAGAGCCCTTTCCCTGCTAAGGGAGCCATGCAGGCCCCCTGCTCTTCCCAAGGAGCCCAGGATGATGAAAAGGTGGAGAAATAGCTAGAGTGACCCTGGAGAAAGATTCAAGATGAATTGATGAAGGCTCAAACCCATTTCAAGACCTATGGCAGCCCCACAAGGTCCCTTTAACTGTCACTGCTGGAAATAGTTTCCTACCATATTGAGATGATAAATTCATGTCAATTGGAGTGCAAGACCTAAGACAGACACATCACAGTCAAAACACAAACAGAAGTCTAACTACTTTCCCAAAACTGCCCCACAAGTGTGACATGGCCCCATGTAGTTTGCCACCGAGCCCACAAAAAATGTGAAGCTTTTGCCCACCAACATGGCTTTGTGAACTTGTGGGCAAAATGGGTTCATTCATTCATTCATTCATTCATTCATTCATTCATTCATTCATTCATTCATTCAAAAGACTTAAGCGTGATAATCCTGAGCGTACAGGTTCTGGATGGGGAAGAACAGAGTCAGACTGAATCTCTCCAAGATAGAGTGGCTTTGAACCCCTGGTCAGAGGCAATCCACAACTGGGGGGTCCTTCTGGACTCAGCTCCTGCTCGAGGAGCAGGGGCAGCTGTGGTCAGGAGGACTTTTGCACAGTTACATCTTATGTGCTAATTGTGTCTCTTCCTGAATCAGGAAGCTTTGCTCAGTCACTCTAGTTGCCTCCTGTTGGATGATTGTATTATGCTCTGCATGGGGCTGCCCTTGAAAGCATTCAGAAGCTACAGCTGGTACAAAATGGGTAGCCTGGGCAGAGATAGGTGTTTCCCATTATATTTGACTGCTTCAGGAGGCGTCTTGGCTGCCAGTTGGCTTCTAAGTGTGATTCAAGGAGCTGATTGTCATTTTTGAGGTGTTTCATGGCTCTGGACTGGATTATGTGTGGGAGCACCTTCTCTCATATTTATCTGTCTGTCCAATCAGATCAGACAGGGTTCCTCCGGGTCCCATTTCCTGAGAATGCCATCTGATGAGACCTAGGAAATGAGAATTATTGATCGCTGCCCTCAAGCTTTGAATCTCCTTCTCCCTATGGACATCTGGCCTACCTCTTCACTCCTGGGTTTCAGAAGAGCAGAAGACCTGGCTCTTCCATCTAGCCAGGAGGAAGGCATGCTTTGATCATCGGGGTTTATTGGTAGAAGCAGCATTCCTAACCACAATGGTGCCAAACTGATGAAATGGGTTGTGATGCCGCAGTACTAGCTCCATCCTTTTGTATTTGCACTGCAACTTCACACACAAGTTCAAAGAGGTGGAGTTTGCACCATGACCTACGCTTCATCACTTGTTGCCCCCTTTCTCATGGGTACCTCTGTCAAGAGCCAAGATGCTACATCTGAGCAACTCCCATCCCTCAAGTACATCTGAGCTCTTCCTGTCCCTCAGTGATTTACAAGAAAGATACACAGGAAAAAATAAGCAAAAGTATACAAGTAAAAGGAGCACAAGTGACCAAAGATCCAGAATTAAATTAACTAAACCAAATGATGACCAACTAAGATTCAAATGCCCTCTGGAAGAGAGTCAAGGTAGGGGCCAATCCATCTCCCACGGAAAACCAGCGCTGCTGAGCCTCAGCCACACACCGCGAGCATTTCATTTCCTTGGGCTTTAGACAGGCACAAAGAAAGACCTGCAGCTGCTTGTTCCAAAACCAGGGCCTTTCCCTGCTCTGCCCTTTGGGGAAGAAAGAGCCAGCAGGGCAGCTTAACCGTTGCTCCTTCTGTTGGGACCCGCATCTTTGGCAGCCTCATTCCCGAAAGATTACCATGGAGTGCAGGGCTTCCTGCAGCATCCAAGCGTACAGCCATTTGCTAAGAGATTTGCATAGAATCTGTTTCTAGTAGATACAAAGGACCATCAGGGAGCACAGAGAGATGCCTGCCTTTAGCAACTGGGGAAGACAACCTGAAGGCTGGGCTAACCTAGTTCTCCAAAAGCACATGCAAACCTGCTGGGAGCCAGCAGGAACCCTTCTGCAAGGAAAAGGCCAGGGTAGGAGGAAACGGTTAAAAACAAGCCGTGAATTGCTTTCCTAGCACCTTCAAACCAGTCCATAGGATGCAAGGACCGGGGCAGGGGGGCACTTCCCCACACTGCACTCAACCCCAGGGAAGCCAGAGAGCTGCCACATCTTCTCCAGAGCTGCAGCAACTGTCTCCAAGTCACAAGCGCTCACACAGCTCCAGGAAAGACTCAGCCAGAGAGAAGCAGGATCATACCTATCTGGCCCCTTGCAGGAGCTCCTTGCCCACAAAAGGCGGTCCGGCGAGGGCCAGGCAGCCTTGAGCAAAAGAGGAGCGAGCCACTGGGACGGGAAGGCAAGACACGCCTCTGCTTCAATTCATTAGGGCTGATGGCTCCCCAAACGGAGCTGAATAATTGATGAATTGGAGAATGCTTACAATGTTCGGCGTGCTTTGTAGGGTGAGAGGATGATCCTTACAGAGCTACAAACAGAGAAAACCATCCCCAAAGGTGCTTTGAACAAAGGTCAGCTGTTTCAAAGTGCCATGCTTACACGGCACACTCTGCTCCAGCGCTCGTTGGTGGAAACAGATCCTTTGGGCCAGGAAGTGAAGGAGGGAAGGGAACTATGATCAGCTCAGGAACTCAGTTTCACGCAAGGGCAAGCAATGTTTCTGAACGAAGCAGTAAAGGGTGATGGAAAAAAACACAAGGCAAGACTGTGAGCCCCACAAGAAACCAAGGCTGAGCTTATCTGCTTTGCCAGCATGGCATTGCCTAAGATCAGGGCAATTCAGTGAAGGTCCCAAGCAGGAGTGTCATTGAGTCATTTCAGCCTGGTTCATGTGAACCAACTTCTTTCCCCCAACAGAGAGGAGTAGTGTTGCACAGCTGAGAACTGGCCAAGTTGAGTTGCAGGTTCCCCACACAGGATGGGGCTTCTCCCTGCTCCCATAGGCAAAGGGGTGGGGGGGAAGGTGGGACAGCACTACTGAAAATGCCAGATGAGGTCACCTGGGACTGAGGAGGAGGCAGGGGTGAGACACACGAACACACCCACCCATCACTGTAGCGGGAAACCACCTTTGAGCACATGGGTCCTGCCAACCCCATTCCTGCTGCTTGCCTGGCTCTGCCCTTACCTGCTCAGGAACCAGTTGCTGCCTGATTGAGACAATTCCCCTCTTCCAAGGAATGAAAGCAAAGCACACCTGGCTCGCTATCCCCTCCCCTGGCTGGCTAGTTATCAAGGGAAGCCCTTGGCCCAGCCCACAAACACACCAGGACGCCACGTTTTGGAACTCCAGTCACCTGCCTGACACACTGAACAGCATTATGGCGGCACATGTCCAGTTCTGCTCCATCTGTTGGCCAGCACGGAGTCCGCCAGAGAAGCAGCCTGGTTGGAGAGCAGGTCTGCACTGGAAGGAGAGGCACGGGCAGTTCCAGGGAGGGCTCCTGGCTGCAGCCACCCACCTTTCACAGTGACATGGACGCTCTGGCTGATAGAGAGCTGAGGCTGAATGAGGACGCTGCAGAGGTATTCTCCTTCGTCCATCCCCTTCTGGACATCCATCAGCTTGAGAGTGCCGTTCTCAAAGACCACTTGCCGATGGTTGTCCGGCAGGAGTAGCGAGTCCTTATACCACTTGATCGAGTAATAAGGGTAGCCAATCACTCTGCAGTTGATGAAGGTGTCCCGGCCTGCCACAGCTGTGATATTCTTCATGGCACGGATGCTGGGGGGGCCTGAAGCAGGGGAGGAGAAAAGGGCAGGCTAGGGCAATTCAAAGGAAAGAGTGGCTTTGCGTGGAAAAGGTCTGCTCCCAAGAAGGAGGAACATGGGAGAGGGAGAGGGACCCCCCCCCCAAGCAATATTTCTGTCAGGCTGACCTTCTCCAAGTGACTTCAAACACTCCAAGCACATTTCAGTTTCTGGGCCAGAAAGTCCCCCAGCTCAGCTTGCTGAGGAACAGAACAGCCTGCCTCCGCGGCTCTCTTGTCCATGCAGGAGGCCAGCTGCTGTGACAGCCAGCAACAACTCCCTCTTCCTGGTGGGCCATTTTATGAAGGGTGGGGCGGGGCACATCCCATGGGCCTGAAGCCAGAGGATGAACACTTGTTGGCCATTCTGCTGAGGAAGAGCGGAAAGGCTGACCTCTCCCACCCCACAGGCTTCCCAGCTACCCCACAAAGGAGCACGGAGGAGGCATGGCAGATGTCTGAAAGAAGTGAGCAGGGCACAGAACTATGCTGCAGGAACATAGGAAAGAGCCCTCCCCAGCACACAGTGATCAGCTCCAGTTTCCTCCTAGGCTGTTCTGAACAAGACATCTGCCTTCTTCTATGGCCGCAACTGGTCTCCAGCCTGTGACGGTTTCAGGAAGAAGAGAACTTTTGGGAATCATGGACACACCCCTTACAAAGAACCAACATTTACTCTATTGAAACCATTTCTGACAAAATTATTTTGCTCCCACACCCATATTTTTATAGCTTTCTCTCAACTGGTATACATGCTTGTTTCAGGATAGTCAAATCAAGTTCAACTATTTTTAAACTTAAATAAAAAGAGAAGGCATACAATTTAACTTAACATTACCAGTTTTGCCAAGGGGCAGTGCCCAGGATGGCACTTTGCCATGTCATCAAAAGGAAGTTCACTTCCATCACACTGTCTCTTTTGCACTCTCAGCCTCCCACCCAGGTCCCAAGGTAGCAACATTCCAGCTACACTTTGCTTGGACTCTTGCAGCTGCTCCATGAGATCTACATTCTCCCCCAGCACCACCTGCTCTGCCAAAGGGCATCCTATGGCCAAGTAACACACAAAGGAAGGGAACGGGACAGAACAAACAGTACAACCAACCAGAGACAAAACCAACGCAAGAAGAGCCTAGGCTAATATTGAAAAGTAGACAGGCACCTCTTACGTTTATTCGCGCTTGGTATTCGGCGCTGCCCACTGAGTTCCGTGCAGTACATCGGTAGACGCCTCCATCCTTGATGTGTGGGCCTGTCACATTCATATGGCTCACAGTGGTACCATCCGACATGGTGTACTGGTTGGTGCGGTGGCTGCCATCTCTCTGGATGGGCTCATCATCTAGGGACCAGGTGATGGTGGGTGGTGGGGCCCCTTTGGCCGCACACATCAGGGAGAACTGCTCACCAGGGTTCACCACCTTCTCACTGAAGGAGGAGACAATCCGGGGGGTCCCATCTAGGAAAGAGACCACAGCAGGGAGCATGCAGAGGTGTGGATCAACATAATTCCTCTTTCCATCCAAACAAACCTCGTTAATGATAGGAGTGTTGAAAAACTTTGAAACACCAAATTTCAAGCCCTAAATCTCAGAACATGTCCGAAGGCCTGGAAATAGTAGGCACAACCTTTGTAGGGCCCTCAACGTTTTACAGAATAATTATTTTCCTGTCCTGGGAATTTCTACTCTCCCTGACTCAATTTCTCAAAATCCCAGAATTTTTTAGGGATACCATCCATTGTGAAAATATACTAGCCTAGCTGGCCAAATGGTCATCCTGTTCAACAGCTTCCAGTCCACTATTCTCCTTCCACCCCTGTAGTGAATGAGTTTCCTGGAAACTCAAAAGTGGGACCTCAGGGCAATGTATTTCCCTCCTCTCTTGTTGCTATGCAATGGCCCTCTCCCCGGAGATTGCAAAACATTATCCCAACATTTCTCTTCCAGTTCTAATCACTCATTATCAAAACATTCAGTGGTAACCAGTTCCATAAATTTAAGTGTTGCATGAAGAAGATAGGTCTTTGTCCATTATAAATGCTCCATCATTCAGCTTTACTGCACAACCCAACTGCATTGTTGCATTACTAGAAGGGGGGGAAATGTGGCTGTATCAGTTCTTTTCAACCCTTGCATAATCCAGGGTCTGTCTCTCTCTCTTTCACTTATCACCACCAAACTATTTGATATGAACTTTAGCAGGGTTCACAAGGAGGTGGAAAGACATTGTCCTTGCAGACCATCAGCACTGTCCCCCTGCACTATTCACCTGCTGCTTTTGAAGACCCTTCTCTGGAGCTCAATGACTTAAAAAGCTTACTAGAGTCACAAGAATGTTAGAAGTTGTTTTGTTTTTTTCCCCTTTTGGAGGTCTCTATCAACCCCTGCACCCTTTCTTGTTCTGCCTCTGAGCAGTTTCCCAGGCCAAATGCTTATATTTTGATAGTAGAGAGAGACAGGACTTTCCCAGACTTTCCAGCCAGCCATGGAGATGCCAGGAGTCTCTGCTCAGCAGAGAAAGAAGAGTTATAAGACAGCAGCCAAGCCACCCAGATACCTTCACAGCATCTCTCTTAGGAGACCAAAAGGCAGGGCTGGGGAACACCATGGAGAGCCACTTCAGCAGAAGAGGAAGCCCTGAGCTCGATAGATCAAAGGTCTGATTCAGGATCTATCCTTCTTTGAAAAGAACCCAGGAGTAGGCAGAGAGCCACTATGCTGCCTAGAAGCTCCCCCTCCAAGGTTGGGTGCTCACCCTCCAACACGATAACAGCAAAGTCCTGAGCTGTCTGGACCTTCCTGGTGGCAAAGCACTGATAGGCCCCTGAATGGCTCTTTTGGGCAGCCATGATGAGCAGTGTCTCATTGTGGATTCCCCGGATGGAGACAAAGTCATCTGGAACCACCAGCTCCGTGTTGCGGAACCAACGGATGGAGTATTCTGGTGAGCCAGAAAGCGCACATGAGAGGATAACTGTGCTTCCAATACCAGTCTTTAGCTTCTTTGGTGTGAGGGAGACCCGCAGTGGCTCTGTGAAAGACAGTGAGACAGAGACAGAGACAGAGACAGAGCAAGGCCACTTTCAGAGAGGTGAATACCCAAATACGAGCCATTCTTGTCTGGCTACCAGCAACCCAACCTTCTTCCCCATGTCATTATCCACAGCCTTCCTGAAGGGATGCTAAAACAGGGTAGAAACCAAGAGCTGGGAACACCAGGAACAAGACATCTAATTTCCTGCCTGGGTCAGAGAAAAATGCAGCAAAGTGCTACCACCTCAAGTTTTCCAGAGTCCCAAGGCAAGATCATCACCCCGATGCACAGCAATTCCTTTGTGAATTCCAACTGACAGGACAGGTGTTTGAAGGGTTCCCTCCGTTCCCTGTCTGAATCCCAGAAAGCAATATGGCCTACAGCCAGCTTTGCTGGATCAGGATGAGCCCCATCCCAATCTAGCCACATGTCTCTGGAGACTCACAGGCAGGAGGTGGAGACCTTCTCCTCTCCCACCATTGTTTCTCTGCAACTGGTATCTGGAGGCAAGCTGACCGCAACTCAGAGACAACACTGAGTCTTCAAAACCAATAGACTTGATAAACCATGAATTTCTCTAATCCTCTTTTAAGCCACCCAAGCAAGTGGTCATCACCATGTCTTGTGGGAATGATATGAAGAGGCACTCTTCTAAATCTCCTTCCAGTCAGCTTCACTGGGTGACCACTGGTCCTACTTTCTGGAGGGGAAGAAAAACTTCTGCCTATTTTTTCCATGTCTGGCATGAATTACTACATCTTAATCATATCTTTTGTCAAATGTGATGACCAGAACTGGGCAAAGTACTCCAAATGTGGACATTTGAAGAATGTTAATACAACGCTGGCACCTTTATGTTCAAACCATTTCTTAATTATCCTAAGCATGGAATTCATTTTTTTCACAGCTGCCACACACCAAGTCACCGTCTTCATTGACCTGTCTGCTATGACCCCATGATCTTTTTCCTGGTTAGTTGCAGACAGCTTGTAACCCAACAGTATACTATATCTGTGAAGTTGAGGGGCTTTGCCCCAGTGGGCAGTGTTACTTAAGTAAGTCCACTTACTTCAGTGGAAACATGTTTGTTATCTGATTGGGCAATCACAAAGAAATCCTTCTGGAGCTCTTCATGATAATTTTGGTTTTGCACCCTGAATAGTTACATTTCATTCATAAACATGGCCAGCTTACTGGTCTCCCAAGAAGCCAAGTCCCTCAGATGTGGATTCTCTGTAAAAATGCAGAAGATCCTGGAGCACATCCATGCCCTCTCTTCTTGTCCTCTCTCCCCACTTCCCCCTCCCGGTAAAAGTGTTTTGATACACAGCATCTGAGAATTAAGTCTTCAATCACTCACCAATTACTGCCAGGGTCCCAGTGACCTCAGCAGACCCAAAAGTGTTTGTGATTTCACAGATGTATGTCCCACTATCCTCCACACGCAGATCACTAATCGTCAGGCCTGTGATGCGCTTGGTCCATCGACTGTCAGCAGGCAGTGGCCTTCCATCCTTTATCCATCGGATTGCAGGATTCGGATACCCAGAGGCAATGCACGGCAGTTCCACGAGTTGCCCTGCCTTTGCTTCCTGGGACTGGAAGCTGTCTAGAATGGTTGGGATGGATTCTGCAGGGTCTGAGAGCAGAGAAACGAATGGAATTCATGTGGTACAATCAGGCCCAAGGACCCCCGAGTCCAAATTCTATGAGCAGAGTGCATTCATTGCCAGTTACTCTCAAACTCTTTTAAGTATTTAGCCTCTCCTCCTGAATTAGCTTCAAGGTCTCTGCAACTGAAGTGCATCCTTTAAAGCCCACGCCAAGCAGAACACAAGAAGAATCTTTTGGGTCTTCTCACTGGCCCTTGCCCATTTGGACAAATGTTCAGGAACTGCTCCAGATGAGGGTGATACCAGTATGGGATGACTCTGCTCCCATGATCCCTGGGAGAAGAAATGTGCAGGGCGGCTTTCACAAGACAGTAAAAAACATGACATGGAGCCCTCTGGGTCACATCTCTATAATGCCACATATCAAATTTTCTTTTCTTTTCTTTTTATTTAAACAAACTATTTGTATGGGCACCCAAATGACAAAATTCAACTCCAGGTGAGTAACAAGGGATTAAAAACAAAACAAGTCAACAACAATCATAAAAAGGCAACACAATATACAACATGCAAGTAAAGGCCAATAACACAACATATCTAAACCAATTTTCCAGATGGGCTCATTCAAGGTCCTAATCCAGGGCTTGAGAGGAAAAATTTTTGAAGACTTAAGAAAGTCTTAGCAGGGTCGGGACCATCAACATCTCAGGGGGTGTGCTGTTCCAAACAGCAGGTGCCACAACAGAGAAGCCACACCTCCTGGGTGCCGTTAGACGGCATTATTTCATGAAGGGAACCCAAAGTATGCTCAGTCTATCCGATCTCATGGAATAGGCAGAATAATTGGAGGTAGGTGGTCTTGCAAATAACCTGGCCCTGTGTCATGAAGAGCCAGTGCAGTTCACAAAATAGTGATGTTACATGGGTGTATCATGGTATGCTCATAATTATCTGCCCTGCTGCCTACTGGACAAATTGTAGGCTACCAGCTGGCTATTTGCAGATGTGGTAAGAGCAGAGAAATAATCATGTTTTGCCATTCTGATTGCCACAAGGTCATACTTAATAAAGGCTCTTACCCATGCTCAGATTCACTCTTTGTTTTCTCCCAGCGGCGTTCCAGTCATCTCTGGAACACTTCTGAAAACCAGAAAGTTTCCAGGATCCACAAGCAGAGGTGTGATCCAATCCAAGGTCATTGCCACCCCATCTTCCAGGCAGTGACTAAGGTGTATTAGTTGAACCATCAGAATCTCAAGAACAAGCCCAGGTTCCTTCTGGAATCTAACAGGATCTACCAGGTACCTGAGGTGGGCCAATCAAATAGATCCTTCCTCCCTGCAGCAAGGAGCGTCTGCAAAGAATTCTGAGGCCAACAGAGAGTGCCAACCACAACAAGGGACTGACAGTAACGCCAATGCCAGATCACATTGCCGCTGCCCCAGAACAAAACAGGTGACCAAAGCTGTGAGTTGGGCCTTCAATAATCTGGGTCAATGGAAGATGAGAAGCTTGTTATTTGAGACATGTGAAGAGAGGAGAACAATGCAGTTCTGCTCCACACCCAGGCTAAGCATGGGGGCAAAGGAATTGGGAGAACAGCCTCTTGTCTGGCCAATCTTTCAAGAGTCCAGCACATCCACAGACCTCCCTTTCTGCAGGCATTTACTGAATGGCTTCTTTGAGGCCCACCCAGACATGATGAGAGAAAGCCTCTCCCCCTCACTGGCCAGGGTGGGAAGACTGGAGCTTCTTGGTTAAGAACCTGCTTTGGGAGCCAAAGATCCAGGGTCCCCCTTCAGCAGGACCTCCCTGTCAGACTAGGAAGGCTTTTCTCCCCAACATCCTTGAGGCTTCTGCTGCTATTGAACAAGAGGGGTGAAGACTCAGGCTTAGCGAGGGGTAGTTTTTCCTCCAATGCCCCAAACCTTTGCAGTGGCTGAAGGCTGAGTAGATGGGCGGGCTCAGCAGAGGAAGAAAGCCCTGTTTCTTAACATTCAAGAAGCACTAAGGGATTTTAGTATCACCCTGGTTGATGGGAATGTTTCTTCTTAGTTGCCTGAAAGTAGGTCTCCTTTCCATTTTGGGTGTTAACCATCACTTGGTGCTAAATCCTAACTCTGCTGGTCCAGTATAGAAAACAGGCAGGTGTTCAGGCTCTCCTGACCAGGACTTAAGCCTCCTAACTTGTTTCTATGGGTAGGATTAAACAGAAGTCTCACAACACAGCTTAGCTAGACTAGAAAATGATTTTTGCTGCAAACAAGGCGAACACTTGGTTGCCCACTCCCAGTGGTTCAAATCCAGAGTGTTTCCTTCCTGTTTTTCCCACAAATTGAAGAACTGCTTGAGCAGTGTTTGGTGGCCTTGAAACTAAGCAGAATTCTAGAATGGAAAGATTAAAGAGATCTTAGAGATCACCTGGTCCAACCCCCTCTCCAGTGCAAGAATCCATTGGTGGCAACTCCTTCGCCCTGAGAACTGTGGGCTCTCAGGCTGCTTTTCATATTGATAGTTCTTCAGAAAAAGCATCTTACTGCTGTGGGCATGCCTTCTTGTTCTGGAGGGTTTCCTCACTCTGCAGGGCCCCAAAGGGGCAAAAGCAGAAGTCATGAACACTCCTCACATCCTTGCCTGTCCCCAACTGAGGAGAATGCTCAAGAACGACCTCTTGCCTTTGCCCGGGACAGTATTCTTTCGGTCCAGATGGTCACACCTGCTCCTCCCTTCTGGGAGCCAGTGTGCCAGTCATCAAAGCAAGCCAAAGCTTAACCAAACTCCCTGTTCCCTCCCTGGGGACCCAGCAAGACGTACCTGAGACAGACAAGCGGGCACCATTGCTCTGCCGCGTCTCACCACTATACTTGTGTTTTGTAATGCATCTGTAGGTGGACAGGGCGTCTTCCTTCTGGACGTCTGATATGTACAACCCACCATAGAAAGTAATGAAAAACCTATTTTCTGGAAGAAACAAGCAGAGAAAAGGAAGCAATGTCTTGGGTCCTGGAACACCAAAAGAGTCACCGCAGAGGGGAAGCAGCAGCAACACAACCTGAGCCGATACCTTGCAGGCTGTAAACCCCTTCCATCGGAAGGCAAAGAGCAGCAGAGTGCCTGAAAGGGGAGCTCTGGCCGAGGCCAAGTTCTCCTCTTGGCAGGCTGGAAGTCTGGTTAAGCCCCCTAAATTAACAGTTATTTCTAGTCTATGGATACTGAGGTGTCTTAAGACAGCTTTGGGACTAAAACCGTTATTCTGTCAGAGGAAGAGAGGGCAGTTTACGCCTGTCTACAATCTCACCCACACAGGATGTGTATCTGCACAGGTCCCATGGACCTACTTTGAGGATGAGAAAGATGCCAGCGACGAGGCCTCCTTTCCTCTCACAAGCATGCAGCTTCTGTGCTTGCGGTATGACCAAGGATGCATGGGGGCTGTCCACCAAGAGACCCTGACAGAGAGCCACTGCCAAGGAATGCTATGAAGTGCAGTTAGCTAGAAATCTGTAACCACTGACAGAAGGAGACAGATGGGAGACAAGTCACTCTGCAGCCTGCAGGGATGGGCTTCAGCTGCCCAGCAGATTCAGCTCTTCCCCAGGGCACCCCCAACACTTGAGAGGAACACTCTGCCATGGTCCTTCTCTTCCCAGGAGGACCACACACCCATCATCCTTAGTACAAGCCTCCCCATGAGTCCAGGCAGAAGGCAGAGGCAAGCCACGGGTTGTAGTTCAGAGTCATCAGTCCAGAATACAGGGGAAAGGGGGGACAAAGAATCCAGACTCTCCCAGCTGCCTGCAAACCAACAGCCTGGAGCCTGTCTGCCTTGGAATTTGGGGGGGGGGGGATGCAGTTGCTATGGCAACAGGCAACCACTGCTTTGCAAATGGCTGCTCTCCCCTGCCCAATTTGTATGCACATTTAATTGATGGAGTAGCTTTTCAGAAGCATCAGGGTCTCATATTCTGCAAGCAAGGAAGAGGCCTTGAGGGAAGGAGGCTGCACTAACAAAGAACATGCTAAGGGATTCCCTGCTCTGGGAAACATGGGGGGGGCAGATCCTCCCCAATAAGAAAGGAACATCAGCAGCCAGAAGTGCCTTTAAGGGAACTGCTGGCTGAGCTCAGCAGCCAGATCCAGAGAAACCCTTAGACCAGTTGGGTCTGGGCCAACCTTTTGCATCTGGAGAGGGTGGAGAAGGAGGACCTTTGACCACCAACTGCTTGGTGTGTAGGCTGTGTCCCAAAGGGCCATGTAGGGGTCATTGCCCTGGTGAATGGGCTTGGGTCTCTCGCTCAGCAAGGTGCACATCCTGTTGTATCTCCAGGGATGGGCCTTCTCCCCAGCTGAAATCAGTAGCCAGGGCTACTGCTGGACTACTGGTCACTCTTTCCATATAGACTTAAGAAACCACAATATGAGAGTTATTTTCAAAAACCCAAGCAAACCAGTCTTACCATGGTTTCATCTGATGGCCTGGTTACCACCATACTAAGGCAAGGACTGGTTCCAACAACACACTGAACTATTTCAGCCTAATCAAGCTGTTAGGCACTCTATGCTACCCAAGTTTTAGAGAGCCAGACAAAAAACTTGAGACAAGACTTCTGTGAAAGTTAACAGATGTATTTTGATCAAGACACAACTGGGTGAGATCAATCAACACCGTGGCAATGAATGCTGATTGAAACCACACCTTGCAAAACAAACATCAGAAATTTATAGACATTTACAAATGTAACAAACTTTTAATCAGATAGTACATCCCCTCATACCCATTCAAGGAAATGCAGGGATGGTCTGGAGAGGAGGGAAGGTGGATCCCAGAAGGAGAAAGTCAGATCAACTTTCTTCTCTTGTTACCAAGGAAATACCATGCGTTAGTACCTCCTTATCTCTGTGGAATTCAGGGGCCTCTCTCTTTGCAACTTTTCAACCTTGTACCAAGCTAATTGTTTATTCGAAGACAATCAGGCATTTAACAAAGAGATGAGGTGGGGGGGGGAAACGCTGTGCTCTTTAGAAGGCAAAAGCAAGTTAAACCTTTATAAGATAGAGTGCACTGTTATATGTATGTTTGTATAGAGTATAAAATTGTATACTAAAATAACACCCTTCAAAGGCATCCCTCATCAGCGATTTAATCACAGATGAGAGGGCTGCCCTGGCATCCATCACTGAGATGTGGCTGGATTCGGAGGGGGGGTAGCCCTCGCAGAGTTATGCCCAGCCGGGTTTCCAGTGTGGCATCAGCCGAGAGTCCGGGGCAGGAGTGGAGGTGTAGCGATTGTCCTCCAGGAATCACTTAACAGCTTTCAGGGGCGCTGCACCACAGGTCACCAGATGTGAGACCCTGTGCATTAAGTCGGGCTCTAGGGATCAGTTGGGACTGTTGGGCAGAGTCCAAATCACAAACACTCCTGTTTGTGCAGAGCGCAGCAAAAACTCCAGGA